TCGTCCGCCCTGTATCTCGTTCTTTTTCGATGTCGTCTCCAAGTGGGCTGAGCACAGCGTAGGCTTAAGGAGACTCTGTGTCCTTTCCTTCTTTGTCGTATCTCACGCACGATAACCGTTCGTTCCTTAATAAGCGGCGACGCGGTGTGTGGGTGACGCGGCAGTACTCAGACTTCGTCTCGAACAGAACGAATGTGGGCCCGTGCAAACAACACTTTCCTATTGAGACCTACGGCGCCCCTACACGGACTACCGCGTTTGAACAGGTGTACGAAGTCGTCGAGTGACGAGTTATCGAAACAAGACTTTTCTCGATGAGAGCGAAGACGTGCTTTCTGTAGAAAACGGTCGTCATAGATCTGCCTTACCGCACGATGGACGGAAGTAAACTCAATTTTGTTGAAAAAATTATTTTACATTGCGCACCACTAGATATTATAACATTTTAGACTACGTAGAAAATTATTTATTAATGTTTAAGCATCGTCTGCTCGCTAGCGCGAATCCACGCGATAATTTTGTGCGATGTATCGCCAAATATGACATGCGCTTTAAGGCTGAACCTACACTTCACAAGCCCACACGTAGCAACGTTATTGGCAACGCGTATATATGCGCGCATAGTACGTAATGCATAGAATACTGATCTCTCTCCTTTTTCTCACTTTTTTTTGTCCCTCTTTCTCAGCAGCTTTTATGTCCGATAAGAACAAACACTGCGCGCGAATGCTTGCTCACACGAAAAAAAAATATTAAGATTGACAATTAGAGTTGATCATTTTAATCGCAGATTGATGGTAACTTTTCAAATGGATCGTAAGATTTGCTTTGACATTTCTTGAAAGGCGCATTTAATGTTTTATAATTTTTTTTTAATTTCTTAACTTTACATTATAGATTTATATAAATCTTTTGTGTTCTCTTCTCTATTTCTATTTAATTCTTTTTAACTTATATATAATTTACTAATACTTTTTTTTATATCAGTAAGATATAACCCGTTTTATTGTGAGAAGTAAAAACTTGCCAGTAAGCTGATGGTCCCGGATGCGGGACTTTATTGTCCACGTTACTCGCCCCGGAATCAATTCTAAGACCAGATAACCTCGCATAGCTCAATAAATAATAATCACGCGTCTAGAGATGAAATTCAAATGCGTCAAGATCATCTCGATTCAAAATCTGATCTGTAACAGCCTCCGTGAGATCCTATCTCCGGCATCCACGACGTAAATTTATCGACAAGTACGAGTGAGGTAGCATGTCGACATCAATGAGGACAGTCTCTATCGCGTTTGTGTAATCCCGAGCAGAAAAAGAAGCTGGCGGTGAAATAAGAGACGAGACGCGTCGCTACGAAAGATCGAAAAAAATGCGCGGACGTGAGAACGGCGAGAATATAAAGAGAGAGAGAAAGAAGATGACGCGCGCTCGTATCTAATATCGCGAAAGAGAGAAATCGGGAGAGGAGAACAAGGGGACGGCGAGATAGAGACGGAGACACTCCCACACTTCGTATCGCGATAAGCCGTGTCATGATGACGACGTTGTCGCTGGTGGTGGTAGGACGCACACGAAGCCCTCATGTCTGGGTAACGACCCGATCCCCACAGTTCGCGCACACACACGAAGACGATCCCACGCAGCAAGAGCAGCGACGTGCGCGCGTCCCACGTTCGATCTCGAACGACCCACTCTTACCTCCGTCATTTCGCGAGCATGTCCGGCGCACTTCCGAACGTTTCGCGCGAGAGATTAATATTGAATTATCTGCACCGAAAAGAATGCCAATTCTGGAGCAAAACGGTGAAAGATTATATCTAAAATATAATTTGGATTTATATTGTTCGTTATATCTTTAATATTCATTATTTCTCATTGCAATATTTAATAACAATGAGACATTGGGTAATTGGAAATTGCTTTTGCACCAAATTTTGTTTGTCCCGTTTCCCTTCTATTTTCCTATCCGCGTTCAAAATCCGGCGTAAGTTGCGCGGTCGATGAATGTCGAGAGAGAGAAGCTCGTCTGAAATAGCTCGACCCAGACTGGGCGTCGTCGACTGTCTCGAACGAAATGAGCTGCGGGTACCCGTGTGCTTCTTTCTTTTTTATTGAATTCCCCGCTTACGCCGAACGATGTCTATTGTGTTTGACAGAAGCTGATTCACGCGATCATGATGGTCCCGCGTATTATGCTACGGCCGCATCACGGGATTCCCACAATTTCTTCTACATTTGCGGATATATCGAAATGGTTTTAGTTCCTATTGAAATTTTTATTATATTTTATTCAGGGCTGTATATATAGTGTTTTAGATTACGTTCTGCTTATGTAATATAATAAGTGTATCGTAATTTTAAAATGTAAACTGCTATTCCTTGCTAATATTCTTCTTAATATATTATTCCTACCGTTATTCTTTAACAAGGCACGCAATCATCTTTCCAAATAACATAAGTTTCGATTAAATCAAGATCGAAATTGAGGGAGTAGTTTGTGACGTGAAACCATTTATCCTGGCATTTAACAAGCGATAAGCGATAACGAATCATGAAATTTTTCTCTTAGCGATTATCGCGGTAGCATTTTGCCTTTACGATTTGTAAACTGCGCGATTGCCAAACATGGGCGCAGCGGCTATCTCAACAGGTCTTAAGCTCCTTTTAGATATGGACTTGAGATCACAGTGACTCATTAGCGGATAAAACCAGTATTCGACACACGCTCCTAACGATCTTCGTTATCTCAGGCATTCCGGATATTTGCAGTCCAACTGAAAAATTTTCTAAAAGAATCTACGTATTTATAATCAATTTTTTTAACGCTATAATTATATTTGAAAAACTATGGTTTTATTAATCAAAATCTCTTGCTGTTTCAATCTTATCATTTTTTAATTTATCAGAGTTGCTCTGATATTGGAAATCGCCACTTTAAAAGTTTATAAAAAGAGCGAGAACCTAATAACGAAGCATTTCGCTTTGGTCTAAAAGCGCTATCCAATTAAGTCATCAAGTTAAATGAAGTAAACACCAGTGCGAGAAACGACTCGCGAAAGTAATAGAAAAAAGCGAGACAATTAAATCGATGAAGGAGAAAGAAAAACGAGAGAACGTTAGCAATCGGAGGTACGAAGGAAAAGGTGGACCTTTGGCGGAGTACCAAACTTGGGATACACAGCTGCCGCTCAGATTTGCCGACGGATAATTGCGCGGCTTTCCCGCAAATGGCGTATCGGACAAGCACGGCCGCATTGACAGATAGTTGAAAAAAAATACGGGATGCATAAATCGCGTACAGAATGCGACACGCGTGAGCGGAATCTTGCGGTAAGCGTTGCCTCACTTTCGCAAGCGGTCGTTTCAAGGAATGCGTTGAAGAATATTGGAACCCTGCTGTTGGTAACTGCTTTTCCAAAAGTGTTCCGCCATCGAATATTACGCAGGTGTTTCAGAAACGCCGTTAGCTATCTTTCGTATGCCGAATTAAGTGTACTATGTATGTTATTATATTTGCTGCACGAATGAGAGTCTTTTAACATGCATCGTTTTCGCTGGCATTGCAACGCACATTTAACTACGAATATTAACAAATATACTACGAAATTTTGGAATATTCAGATTTAATATAATTAAATGCAACAGCAAACAAGAAATTGACACGTTTAGAAATGACACTCCTAAATCTAATTAGGATTAATTCGTCAATTGTAACGTGCGAAGCAACAGAATGCAATAGAGCAGCAGAAAGAGAAACCTGCAGGAATAAAGCGGTACAAAATACGTTTTCCGTTTTATTCAGTTCGTTCAATTGACGAGACCACATGGTGATCCGCGACAAAACATATTTCATGTTATTGAACGCGATGCAGCGAATGAAGCGTTGGATTTATCTTCATTTGAATGCGATTTTGGCCGGAGTGAGTTCGTGGACCCGGCGCAAAAAACGTCTCGCGCGATTTAAGAAAAACCCTTTCGCGACAAATAAATGAAGGCGAATCCGGTCGGCTGGTATCCGCGAGTAAGATGCGTTGCCGTCCAGATGTCACAATGTAAAAATATGACCAATTACGTGTTACATATATGGAATATCTCAACATTGAAAATTCGACCGCCCTTTTTGCGATCGTTTCTCGTGACAGAATCCGCGGTACTTCGCGCCATTATTCTAGATGACCACAAATTCGTTGCTCCTGCAACGAACATGGATAATATCCAAATACCAAATACGGAAACAATTTGTCTACCGCGCACAATTAAGCATTGTGAAATATTTAATTACATAAAGATATCCATTGTCAACTTCAGACAATGACTGTAATGGCATCTTAAATTAATCAAAGAAAAAAAAGATTATAGCGTGCTTACACAATCAGGTGGAGGTGTTCGGTGCAGCTGCTTTTTACAAACGATTCATCCGCTTGATCGCATTACAGTCTCAAAAGATATAAACTCATTGAGTATAACATCGCAATCCAATCTACGGATGGCTCAATTGCGATAGGTTCGTTTAGATATCGGTGGGTTCTTAAAGACCAGGCATAGCTACGTGACGATCGGATGGGCTCGTGTAAATAAATGATTTCGTATTAACAATCGGCATTGAATAAGGGCGCGCCCGTATATCAACTGCATTTGTTAGCGGGCACGCCTCCGGCGTCCGACGTTGAAAAATGCATACTGCGCTCAATCGTTCGGCAATATTTCAATATTAGTTTAGCCATTGTGCACGCGGGACCAGTTCGCAAAGTGGGCGCCGGACGAGCAGCGTCGTGCCTCTTTATTCGCTTGGAGATAATATTTGCGCGTGATTGGCTCGCTCCGATGCAGTATTTTCACGACTGAGACGATTGAGGACGCTGTGCCAGTGAAAATATTTGCTATTCGATAAAACTCGCCGTGATACATAGAAGATATTTATACGATACCTTAGAATCTCAATAAAAATGATTTTGTGAGCGCGGAAACGTAAAAAATGAGTGCTGCGAAAGTTGTAATTTTGTAATGTAATTTTTAATTTCCACAAACACGATTATATATATTCTCTAAGCTATCGAAATATAATTTACATAGTCTTAATCGGCAAAAAATCCTTTTTTATCACATCTTTATTATAGTTCAACAACTCCTCGTTCCACTAACCGAAGCAAGAGAATGAACGATCGACAGGTATGCTCGAGCATTCACAACGTGTTGGACGAGTGATATCGCATCGAGAAATCGATAATAAATCATGCGAGTGGTTAGCGGACGTTCTTTGTGTCATTGGCCGCGTTCGCTCTTCCGTTCAAGGTTTCTCGCACGAATATTTCCTGCGCAGATGTGCCCACGCGATCTCCGACTGCAAATCAGAATTGAAAATGTGTTTTTCCCTGTATATTGATTCAGCTGAATTAATACTTAACGCATCACCTCGATGAATGAAGATAATTTTTCATGGCTAATCTGTGGCTTCATTTTTATGCGAATAAAATAAAAAAATAATACTTTTTTAGCAATATTATCTTCGATGATATTTATTTCCAAATAGCATTATATAATCAAAATATGTTTTAAGTGATTGTATTTTGATATAAATCAATCAATTGTTAAATCAAGGTTTTTCCCTTGCAACAAAAAAAAATTATTTTTACAATCAAATTATTTTATATCACATAAGATTTTATTTTCATAAATAAAATAAAAATAATAAAAGAATTTTTGTTCGAATCATATCAGCTTTGCGGCGCGCTCTTAATTCCATATTCAATACAAAGAAATACACCGATACTCTTTTTCGTATCTTTAAAGTATACGTAAAATATTAAATATCGAATTCTTCGGACCGTCCGATGGCTATTAAAATAAAATACATTCTTGCCGATTCGATGTAATGCGGATGTACAGAGCTCCGCGAAATGCAGCCTTAATTGGTGCGTTTACCTTACGTTTCCATTTAAATGCTCGGCGAGGTCGCGGCGTTCGTGGCGACCTTAAGCGCGAGGATCCCACTCTCCTCGTCTTCTATCACTCTCCCGCCTCCTCCTCACGACCGGACGAAGAGGGCGATGCAGGGGCGACGCGACGCGCGTCGGCCACGAGGAGCCACGAGCCGTCGCGTGGGACTAAGCGGGTTCTCGGCTTCTCTCTCTCCCCGCTCGGACGAGCGCTCTCACGAGTTGCTCCCAAGAGGACCAGCTCCTTCCTCCACCTCCACCTCTACATACGCCACCATCTCCGGCAGCACACGCTCCCTCCCTCTTCCTCACCGGCGGCTCTTTTCTCTTCCCTTGCACGCTCTCACGAGAGACTCGTCTCAACCGACGTCCGCTCGCATACTCGAGCGACCGAGCGTTCTCACGCACACGAGGGCACGAGTCGACCGCGTGTGCCCACGTGTGCGGAGAGAGAGCGCGGCAAACCACGAGCGGGAGTTGGAAACGTTAGTGGAAGTTGAGGAGGGCTCGCCGCTGTCACGAGAAAATGTGGAAGCGCATTTGTTACTTTCAACTATTTTTCCATCAATTTTGTTTCACCAATAAAATACATTTCTATCAGCACGGCATAACGCCGTGAAATCTTTCAGATCAATTATTCTTGACAGATTTCATCTCGAGCGGCCTTAACATAAACGCGACAAGTATATTCAGAATAATTGTCTAGGATGACGTAAAAACTACATTCCGCCAATGCGTCATAATTAATTCGTCTTGAGTACATGCCAAGTCGTATGTTCGCAGATACGCTTACGATCGTTACGAGGAAAAACGAATTAGGCTCGGCTACCGCTGCCAAACATTGCGTGCGGCTTGCATTTACGCACATACGTGGGCGGTCTTTTGGCGCCAATAATAACCGGAGATCGTCACTCTTCCCAGAGTGAAAGCCGTTTCGAGGCGTCGTGACGGGGAGGAGATCGATGCGTTACTTTCCTAAATGCGCCCTATGACGAATTCGTATAAATAGTTGCACAACGAGTTTTCTTAAGCTGCATCGTGATATAATTTTATATCGTCTTGCAGAAAAGCGAGTAACTTTTTTAACAGTTTTGTAAAAAAAATTGTATTCGTTAAATATCTGTGAAACCACAGGTAAAAGATCGTCAGCGATAACGATTATAGGGGATTTCGCTCCCTCGTCAGAATTCGTTTAGGCTTAATAGAATGCTCTTCCGAAGCAGGCGAGGGCTAAACGGTATATCGCCAAAAAGGCAAATAACCATGTTTGTAGACCATCATGACTAACGAGGAAAGATTTTGTCAACGCGCACCGTCATCCCGTCGCTCATTGGCAGGCGGAGAGAACTAGTGACGACGTATGTAACAACCGACGTCTCTTCACTGCAGTGAATACCCGCGCGCGCGCACTTGACCGCTACTGGCCTACCGCAGTCGTTCGTAATAATAAGGCTCGGAATAAGTTATTACGCACTCTCACACCCTATGCTGACTCTCCACGGACACCTCTGCGATTGTGTAAGTGGCGTGCCTACACGCACTCGACGCATAAGTGCGCGATGGTCGCACCCGGGATGCTCGTGAACATCGAAATACGGATTCGTCGTAGCAACGTGAAGATATTTAACTTCACCCGATGAGTATCAGTCATTGATCGAATAGAGTATTTGCATGCGATTTACATATCTACACATTTTATCAACATACAATGCAAACTTTGAATAAAGTATTATTCTATTGATAAATTTGAAATCACCATTGTCGGAAATGGCAGTCATTATTCGTAATGTCTACGGAGCAGCACTCTGTGCACACGTGAAAAAGAGGGCGTATACTAATTACGAGTAGTGACCGAGGATTTGAATTGTACGCTCGGCACGGGAGGAAGGGATCGTGGGCAGCTGCGGAAAGGGTATAATTTCGTAAGTCCTGGACGACGAGTCGCTGCTGCTGCCCGCGCTTATGAATTCCACGGAGGCTTTCGTTGCTACTAATTGACCCGTTCGTTGGCGTTCCCGTGCCCAGTCGTTACCGCTTCGGAGAACATCTTCGAACAAATTAAAAGCTAGCCCTCTCCGTCCGCTCTCCGGCTGCATCTTAATCGAACTATCTCGGAAATCTTGATAAAAATGCCCAAAAATCGCGAATAAATACTGTGCGGCTGTGGTCCATTCACACGCCGGTGAGCTAATAAAAATTCGCGATGGTGCGCTGCTATGGCGAAACGCCAATCAACTAAGACGTATAATCAGGCCACGGCAAATAAAGCACCAGCTAGAAAGAGAGCGTCTGAAATGTTAAATTGGCCTAGATTAAAACCCTGGCTGCACTTTCGTTACGCGAGGAGCGGTTGCCTACTGTGCGCAACCCAATGATTATCCTCGGCGACGGCTCGAGCCACTGAAAAATTGGCACTCAAATATTGCGAAACAGTTTCACAGTGGCTGATTGATTCGATATAATTGCCATGAAATATTTAGAATAACCGAGGGGGTTCGCAACGAGTTTTATCGAGGAAGAGAATTTAACCGTAAAATAATAAGAAAAGTCAACTTTCAGGTATCATGCAAAATTATACTTCTTTATAATATCTATATCCGCACAATCAAAACGTGTTATTTAAAATTCTAGAATTTTTTATCACAACTTCATTTCTTAATTGAATTTCGCGCTAATGATATTGCTAGTCGCCTGATAATTATATACATCTCATAAGAATATTGCAAAAAAAATCTGTCAGGAGGACATTCGTGAAGCATTTCTTCATGAATATCTTAGATATGCAGGTGCGTTTTAAATGTCACGCATACACCGTCGCGACCGACAAACGAAACTTGAGTATCGAGAAGGAAAAAGAACTGTGTTTGGTATTAATTCCATGGCCGGAACCTCTCTCGGTAAAAAGTTAATTAAAATACGGTTATCTACCGTCGTTCCATCTGTTTGTTCATTAATAGTAGCCTGGCGTGTCCAATTCATTGATTGAACCGCACTATGCCACCCGATGGCGATCCACCGATGGAATAAGAGTCAATCGACTCCTTCGAGAAGTAATTAAGTCGGCTCGGGAGAGGGATATCTCGCGCGAGTCCCGGCGATCAAGTAGGCAACTTGAAATTATCGATCGGCCGAAAAAAAATCTCTTTGTGGCCGGGGCGAGAGAGAAACCCGCGATTTTTATCGCGGCGACGCGCCATGAATATTTATACGCGACAATCTGACACGTACGCGAGCGGCCAATATGTTACGTCGCGCGACTTCGCGCCGCGATCAGTGGCGGCAGATAGCAGGACCGTTGTCAAAATCGCCGCGATAAATCCGTCCGTGTCTGGCGAGTCGATTATCGCGGACCTTTATACGATTCGACGATTAGACCGGATGGAAGACTATCGAGACGCGCCGGTTGATAACCATTGCCGATGATGGTTCTGATTGCTTATTTATCCGACTTCGATTTCCGATACGTCGGGAAGGAAATTGCGGGAGTTTATATTTGGTAGCGTCGTATTTGTCATATCGAAAAATAAAATAAAAATTTTGCATGCAGCCGCTTTGTAATAAAAGGTCTTGTTATTTGAATCGGACTTTCATTAATATTCCATTTATTGGAATTGATCTGCGCGCGGAACATTCGAAGCAGTTTCCAAGTGCGGTCGAGAATAAATCGAATACCGGCACACCATTATTATGCAAGACGAATTACGGCTCTGCTCGGTTGATTAGAATTTTATGATTACGCGCATCATGTTTCTGGTATTTATTATGGTTATTGAGTTGGAAATATGATATGTATTGTAAGAATTTTCGCCACATGCAGCGTAATCTTTGTTATCGGCTAACACAAAATATATATGTCGCAGCATATTTATTATAATTTATATCGTAGACTATTTATTTTTCAGAAACAACTTGATAATATTTCATACATAAACATGTATGACTTTTTACACACTCTATTGAGAGAATTCGAGAACTTTATCAAAGATGCAGGTATCTCGAGAATATATATCGATCACGATGTAAGTTCTTGGAACGTTAAATTTTTATTCGAGTCACCTGGACGCGCGTATAACGTGCACTAATCCAAGGTATCAACCACGCTTGCAAGGTATTTGCCCGAGGGCGAGCGCCGTTGGAATCTCGGACAAGAAATGTCCCTTACCGAAATGTCTCTGGAGTCGTTCGTGGACGAAGGAGGAGGACGACAAGGAGAAAAGGCCTCTTCAGATCTGCAGGACACGTTTCGGACTCGAATAAGCGATCCGCGGTCTCGACAACGTTCACGATACCAAATTTGGCGGCATTGTGAGGACCAAGCGGTTGGGCGGACAGCTGTTTCCCAGGGTCGCGGCCGCCAGAAGCATCGAGGAGCAACAAGACAATTTCATATGATTTATATTTATGAGCGCGTCGGCATTTAATAGTTGCCGCTCGTGCGCGCGGCATTGCGCACACTGAGTCATTCCGCGCGAGGAGGCCGCACCGGCGGAGATCGGTGCCTCGTTTCCAGAGCATACGAGACGTCAGCGAATTCCTCGCAAGGGCTCGCATGAGACGTCGCAGTTAATCTCTTCCTCGTTTCGCGCGGGGCACGACGGCGAATGGGCGTTGCGCCGCGAACGTTTAAATTGAAGCGCTATTCAGCGCTTGTGGCGCAATTAGTACATTCCTCCTTTTCCTCACATGTCTAACACTTTCAAAATGCTAATGGAGTCAATTATTCTAAGAAAATTAATGGTGATTATTTCTGCACGAATAAAGGGAAGAATTATCCATGCCGAGTCGTTAGAAACGAAACTTTTTTGTTGAAATTGACAAAATGCTTTCCACAATATTAGATAAGCAAAGTAACACTCCGCACGCTTTTGTTATTAAGTTTATCGCCATCGACTGCTTTCTTCAACAATGAACAATCGTTTATCGAAGAAAATGGAGTTCAAAGAATAGCAAACGTGTTGAATCGTTAAAGTTATTAATCATATTTTGTTGAAAATCGAAAAATAAGTGTCATGTTATTATCTTTTCTTGTTATAAAAATTTCTTTCGCAAGTTACACAGTATTAGCTTGTGTTGAACAGCCCACATATGGAAATCGCGTTGAATTATTCTTGGCGCACTGCTGTAATTAATAACTGTCCTCTACCATATATTCTCTTAATAATTATGTAAAGGCAACTGCCGGTGTTAGCTACAGCTGTGTTCGATACAGTCGCGACTGATTTCCTAAGCCAGTGTTTGCCAACCATAAGATTCACATGCAAATCAGCATAATGACACACCCTTACAAGGGTGCAATCGTGCTCTTCTCAACACGCCACCTTCGCTGAGATAAGAGACAAATTGTTAGTTGCGTTCACTCGTGTTTTAATTTAAACATCAGACAATGCAAAGAATGTATAAGTGTAATTGAATTTGCAGCCATAATAAACAATTCCTTCTACATTGTAATCGAATTTTAATGGAACCAAATATCCTCAATTCTCGACAGGTAATTCTGTTACAAAGTTCAGTATACAGGATCCAGCGATCGAAAAAGTTGATAATCACTGTGAGAGAGCACCGCGAGGGCTGTTAAAAGTGACCATAAAGGCGAGCGCGCGCATGACACACAGCAATGAACGATCCCAATCGATGCCTGCGGCCCCAGGTGCAAACTCTGTGCTCTCCGTGCTCTGATTGCAATCCTGTATCTGCGACTCGTTAAATCAAGACGTTACCACGATATCATCTTACGCGCGTTTTTCTTCTGCGCGTTCATCTCCACGAGAAGCGCGTCCCGTCCTTCTCTCGTACTGTCGACTCGAATGCGGTTTCTATTCGTTTTATCACGATGAGTCTGCTCCATTAATCTCGAATACGCACCTTGTGTTTGGATGTGTAAATTTGAACGCGCGTTAATTTAATACGCCCTACCTTTCTCGGAACAACGTAGTCGGGATCTGTCTGATATCTTATATCTCGCGCGATACAAATGTTGAGATTTGGCCCTTTGTGTGATTGTATAATCATAACTTTACATCCCAGCGTGTTTCAAGCGTGTCCGAAAACAGTATTCACTATTATCAATAATCAAGAATTTTGCAAGCACATTTCATCAGAATCTAAACACAAGAATCGAAGAGTTCAAAGAAATCATAAAAGAAGTCGCCACACTCGCCAATCAGTGATTCGTCGCTACAAACATGGGAAAGGCGTCGGTACGGATCGTTCGAGCGTGGCAAAGAAACGTGTCGATGTCATACAGCGGAATGCAGCGCGGTAAGCTCTTCCGTAACAATGTTAATTAACTGCGCAACGCCGGCATTAAGGGCATCATTTTAAAAGTTTTCGATCCGTGACTTTCTCGGTATTGCGCTACCTGCAATGTTAAAAATTTTAATTAACGAGCCAACGTGAACTTTACTAACCCACATTATTCGAATTGTCGCCGTTACAGTCAAGAACGCATAGACCGCGCATTTGCAATTTCAATATTTTAACATAAACTGTTATATCGGTCTGCGGTAAAATGATATTATAATAATGTACTATAATCTATTATAACGATCCATTAATGTTTTCAAGAGTTAACCGCGGCAAAAGCAGAAATACATTATATATAATAATGTCGATAATTGTTTTAGTTAATAAAGAAATTAATGGTTTTGAATTAATAAAAAAACTTCTTATGTTGATACGAAAGCAAAACAAGTAAAAGTAAATTAAATATAATAAAATATTTGTAGATTAATATCAATTAAAGATCCTTGTCCGTTGTACAATGCCCCTCCGAAATTATGTCCCTTCGCCCGTGCCATCAAAAGCAGCAGGTACGCGGCAGGTTTTGCTGTCGCCGCATCGAAAATCCTCGCGGTAGAAAGGGATACCCTTTATTTGCATGCAACGCTCTTTAATAGCTAGCGCACATCCTCGGGGACAGAAGAAAGCCGGTACGCGCTTGCATCCGCTCGTTGCCTCGTTATTATGCACCACGACCTCCCCGACCTCGATTCTCAGGGCGGAAATTGGTTTTATAATTTAAAGCGGGCATACACACGACGTAATCGAAGCCGGAGAAACACCACGTCGCGTTGCACCATGCATGCCCGATTTCACATGCGCGCCCGTCCCTTTACAAATCACTTTCCCTGATTGACGCTCAATGCCTGCCCTCGAACTTGTCCCGCTCGATTCGATCGGGCCCACGCCTTATTATATCAAGCGTAGGGCTCTCCTTCGAGAGATGTCTATCGAACAGTTCGTGCCGGCTCTTTTATCGAAATCACGGATCAAAATTCCCGACCCCCTCCTGCCGTCTCGCTGTGCTCCTTTTTCGTAGGACGATGACGACCGGCGCGACGGAGGCGTGCGCGCGCGCTGCAAGACGGCAGGTGTATCGAAGAGAGAACAACATCGTACGATAGTGGGTTTGCTTGCGCGTCTGATTGCGCGCTTTCCTGTTGCAATGTGCAGTCATTGCAATAAAAGTACTGAAGAAAACAACGATTTTATTGATTGATAATAACGATTGATTGATAACGAAGACGAGAGAGTTTTGTAAAGAAATTTTGTGACCATGTACTGTTGCCGTTCGTGAATGTACGCAAAATAAAAATTTTTAGCATTTGATGTTAGAAAAGATTTTAGCCTATCGTAAGTATTATAATAGTTACAGGCAATCGCCTGCCTCGAAGCAATGACTTGCGCCATCGAAAAGAAACGAGCCGTCACGGCGACCCGCTGTCAATGCAAATACCTCGTGCAGCATTTAAACGCTTTAAAAGCGTCGACCAGCTGGTGCTCAAGTTGATAACATATTTTAGTCGGAGCTGTTAAAGCACCGGCGACCACACACGCGCATTATAAAAGAAGGCCTTCCCGAGTTCACGTCCGAATTGATTACGCCGGCATTGATTGACACGCCGTCTAATAATGCTTAATTATAATGCATTATTCAGACCATCAACACGTTCCGATAAACATTACCGCGTGGACCAAATTCATGCTTTGGTTAATCATTTGCTGGCGACTATTAATTTACTCCATTATGCGGACGGAAATTGTCTCCGTACACGTGCCCTTTCTCGGTAATCACATGTTAGGCGGGCCACGGATGATTTGCACACGCAATGAATAAGCGAACCAAGATTTTTAAAATTTTCTGCGAGTCATTACATGAAGAAACTATTCATTCAAAGTTTTATTTCTAGACGAAAGGAGTAATTTAGCTCTATTACACACAACCTTTAATTGATAAAATAAAACACTTTACAACAAAAATATTTTACGTTAGTGATGATAAATGAAATAACAGTAATACTTCGAAAGTATTATATTTCATGAGTAGCTTTTCCCGATGTCATTTTCGGAAAAATCTATTTCGACTTATGCTACTTGCCTTTTCTGCGAAACACATGCTGTATCTGGTATACATTAAAGTCCTATCCGGTTTTCTTTCTTCTAGCCGACTCAAAGATCTCGGAAAAATCTAAACTATAAACATTTTAATTGCTATAATTTTAAGCTATTTAGCAATATATACAAGATCAATTTTAATTAATTTATTTATAAAAAAATATGTACAACATGCATTAAAAACTTTATAGCAGAATCTCTCGCGGTCAAAAAAAAGTGAAACGAAAAAAAGGTCCGGAAAAGCCGAGCGGAAACGGCGCTGGCACAAAGCCGACGCCGCCCTCTTTACAACTCTTCCGCCCACCCCCGAAGCCTCTAGCAGGAACCACGCAGTTTCTTGGATCTAAAACCCTGAGGATAGCAGGAATCGCGTCAGTGTGGTCTTCCATTCTGGCAGACGTCCGCCCCACGCGACCTCAATTTATTCGACACCTCCCCTCGCCTTCAGCGCTTGGAAACTGCTCCGGATCTCTTCGAGACGAGACAAGCAGAGCGCGTTGGGGTTTGAGAGATGAGCGAAGGCTTGGCTGAGAGGAGTGCGAGCACGCTCGTAACAGAGTTATTATGCTAATGAAGAGACGAATCCTAATTACAGTTAACATATCTTCCGTTCGATCGTTCGTCTTGCGTGAGCTCGGTGCCTTCGTACAAACCGTGAGTGCTAAGTTTTCACATTCTATAAGAAGTTACATGACGAAGTCATGCGAGAGATGAACGCTTATAATAATTATCCGCTTTTGATTGTAATGATTAAAGATTTTTGAATGCATGAAACTAGGTTGACATTTTGACTTAGCCGTCGAAACTAATTTTTATTATGTCCGAACACAACGACTGTCAGGTAGTTTCAACAGCAGCCTTCTAGGAAGACAGACGTAGCGTCGTGAATTAGAGTATTAACGAGTGTCACGTATTATTAGCGGAACGACTAAGCCGCGCATGGAAAAAAAATCATGTGATCAGCCCTGCAACATAAGCATCCACGAAAATAAAGTCTTTACTCGAAACTATCGAAATCTATCCGGAATCATTGCTCAATTTCAAAAATCTTAATCCACACATCATTACGTTCTTGACGATATTTTATTTTCACAGGAAATAATTGAAATATCATTTTTAATAATAATTTTCGTATTTCTCCTGAAAAAGGTAAAGTAGTTGTTTGAATAAGTTCAAGTGATATGCTTTAGATATAATCTAAATATACACGGTATGTAAAATGTAAAAATTTTGCATTTGCAATTACGAAGCGTTTGCTCAGCGGAACGACGCAAGCATATTTTTGACGCGAGAGCGAGATCTCCCCGTCGATGCCACCCAAGCTTTAATGCCCACTCCGGCGAGGCTAAAGCGCAGGGGTGTGCCTGCACCTGTACCTTGAATTAGGCCAATTCAAATTTTAATCGACCCGCCACCCAGGATGCACCGTGTGACTTCCAGGAGCCGCCGCTACGACCATCCCCCCGTGGAATCAATTGCCATATAATTTTATTCGCGCCAATTAACTCGATCGAGCTAATTACTTACGCCAGACTCGCGCGTAGGATTGTAAGAGGGGATCATCGCGCTCGTTAAAACGCATAATCTTGAAATAACGAAGGACGACACGTCAAGTTTTTCCTTGTCAACTCAACTCATACATTTTTTTTTTTCATTAACATCCATTTAGCTAAAGATAAGCAAATTTGTAAAAAAAAACTTGTGTTTTCGTAAGAATGATCTACATGCGTATCTGTAATTAAAGTAACGCGAAAGGAAATACTGAAAAGCGCAATAAAGCGAATGCGCCTTCGCTCTCACGCTGACCTTCTCGCAACGCGGTGAAAAAGCAATCACACGATCGACCGCTCGTGATTGCTGGAGGAGGTATTAGCGAACGGGTCTGACTTTTTGATCGCGCCACCACGAAAGAGCACGCCACACCGTAGCAGCGAATTTGCATGGCCAAAATATTAAACAAGCGATAATTGCGTTTAATGTTGTGGCGCCCGCGCCCCCGGCTGGCTTATTTGAAAAATTGAGTTATTACGCGTTTCGCCGTTACCGCGGG